GGGATGAAAACTGCCAGCATTGGCCAAGACCAGCAGGTTGGGGGCACTCCTGCATGCCTCCCAGCAGTCTCCTCAGCTGCTGGACACTGCCAAGCTCAGCCAAGTGGCTGGGCTACCCCTAACTGACTGCAGGGCATGGCTGAGCACCTCTCCTCCCCACCTCCCCTGGCAGTGTCAGCCACAGGCATGATAGCTACTGGCACACAGTGGAGGCAATCCTGCTGGGCCATGACCAGCACCCTGGTCCTGCTCCCTGGGGCTAAACCAGTTCACAGAAGCATGGGAGTCCCTGGGTAGGTGTGAGGAAGCCCGTCCAAGGACCCCCATGACTCTGCAAGCTGGCACAATTCCAGGTAGCAGGAGCAGTGGGGCAGCTCTCCCAGCCACTCCCACCAGCAGTGTCAGCCATTGCACTGACAGCTCTGTGACAGCATGGGGGCAGGGATGGCCAGGGGCTTGGCCAGAATGAAGATCAGCTGCCAGCGCATCTCCTGTGAGGGGAGGGTATCAGGGGACCGCAAAGCAGGCTGGAATGCTGGAGGACAGTGACCTACGTTGTGTTGGGAAGGGTCTGGTAGAGAAGTTCGACAGACCAGTCTAAACTAAATCACTTAAGTCTAACACCACATCAGTCCATATCTATCTTAGACTGGGTTCCACCATTTTAAACAAGTCTACATGCGCTGAACTTCTCTCTGGTTACAGGTGTAGACCAGTTTCCAATCACTTATACTGATAGAAGTATAACATCTGTATCTGGGCTTTACTGGTCATGTCACACATCTTACCTTAAGTCTCACCAGGAGTTGTTCATGATCTTGTAGCAGTTTTTTGGTCTCATCTTGACTGCTGCCAATTTCTAATAGATTTGGTTCTGCCTCAGCCAGTTGAAGTTGCACCCATTTTCCAGACTATAATGCAAACATAAACAAACACCCATTGAACACCATCCAGGAAACATGAATCTTGTTTACTTCCTTCTCCAAAAAAAAAATGCCAATTAATATGTCCTGATCCTTCAATTTGACTAGCCCAGACAAACCCCTGCATACACATGGAGATCCCATGAAGTCAAATGAGCCCAATGATCTACTCACATGAATCCAGTTGCACGATTAGGGCCCCCAGGATATAAAATCCAGTGAGTACAAACTTTAGCAACGAGAAGCCAAGAACATTTGATAAGCATGTTTCATCTAAAGCAATGCCAAGATCCCAAATTCTTGCCTTCCCTAATCACTATCCATGTTGTAACTGCAATCAATGAATAGAAAATTATACCTGGAACTAAAAAGGTTGTATCCCTGTATCATGCTGGGGACCATCAATGGTATGTATATTTTTAGCTGGACCTTGTATAGGTAACTGGCTGCATGTGTACTGCCAAATAATGTCCTAACTTTCTCACAGAAGAAACAAATTCAGGCAGACATAATCAAACTGTCCTCTTGACCAGAGTTCCATCACAGCCAGGCCCTTCAGCACTGCATTTTCTAACACACCTTTGGGGAGGGGAGGTTGTTTTTCTTTTGGTTTCATTTTTCTTTAAAGCACCTAAAAGCTCTGATAATGCTGGGAGAGAAAATTACTAAAGGAACATGAAACTTTTAAAATAATTGGCCTGATCCCTCAAATATACACTCAGGCAAGTATGGCTCCCTAGCCAAAAATAATTAGTATTTGTTATATTAATTTGCTCAAGGCACAGAATCAGTGGTTCTAATTGAGGTATGAACTCCAATCACTGGATTAAAAGTCTACTGCATACTGAGTAAGGTCCTGTGGTGTTTTTGATGCAACTACCAGTGAAATTAAGGACTTAATCATAAATCCTGTCTACACAACACAGAAAACAGAAACAGGGCTGTGTCATACAGTATCATAGAGAACTAAGGTTGGAAAGGACCACAAGAGCTCATTTGTCCAACTGGGAACCAAACACCTCAAACCTTGTTATTAACACCATGTTATTAGCGCCATGCACTAACCAACCTGAAGAGAGCCTCTAAATCTGGGTGATGGGAAACCTTCAGAACAGGTTAGGAGATGTAACTCCATAGCAACTACTCCAGCCTCAGGTCACCAAAGCACCTGTACCTTTACTATGTATGGGGCAATATGCCAGATGAATAGCATGGTAACAAACCCAATGACCTATGTTCACCCCCTCCAAATCCACATTACATAGCAAAGTCAAAGAGAACATGGGATCCAGGGTATGCAGGAGTACCACAGGATTCCCTATCTGGCAACAAAATCAGACCACAACTACAGCAAACCTACAGCTTGACTACTAAGGAGATGCAAGAATTTTCTCTTGACCAGAGAAACTCCTTTCATCATTTTGAATGACAATCCAGACCCTCATTAATTTTAATACACATGTTGTCTCTGTCCTCAGTCTGAATTAGTTATCACATTCTAATGCATTAGGCTAGATTTTTTTAAGGTGCCTGATGAAGTGAGGTGGCCAACTGCCATCAAAGTCCAAATACAGCTAGGTGCCTAACTGTTAGGCAGCATCCAGAACTGTAAACAAGCTGCCTCAGCTGAAACTAGCATCTCTAGCAATCCTTCAGATATACAAGACCCCTTGTCAAAAAATGTGTGACAAATGGCCATGGATGATTTTTTTTTAAAGGATCAAGCTGACATTTTAAGTGTTTTTTCTTCACCTAACACTGAACTAAACCACTGATAATAGAAATGATTTTTTGTGTACTTGTTACTGCTAAAATTATACAACAAAAAATTAGTAAGTATTTTAGAGGAAAGACTGTAAATAGAGTTGAGATTCTAAAAAGTAGTATGCTTATGTTTCTTATTATTTAATTTCCTAGATGTACATGCCATTTTTTCAAAAGAGGGAGTCATGTTCTTTGCAGCAACAAATTTACATATTTTGGCTGAAACAATATAAAAAAGAAAAGTAATATACAGTAATCAATATTAACTTAAAAGAAGGCTTCTTAGATAGGTTTCTTAGGTAACAGTGAATTAAATGTACTTGCCTTGTCATTTTTACATGCTCTATAGCTTCTGTTCTGTGCAGAACATTGCAAAGATATCTTATTATGAGCTTGAAGCAGCACAAAACTGCAGAGCTAAGAGCATAAGTGTTAGCAAATGTTGTCTTACCTTAAGTATAGCTATAACAATTCTGGAATTCCCAGCCTGAACAGCAACTGAACTGACTGTTGTGGTAGAAAACTGTTCACCAGAACTGGCTTCACTCGACATGGTGCTTCAGAACTGGATTTCATACATTAAAGCAGCCTCAACAAACTCATTTGAGTCCACTGGTCATTTAAAAAAGCAGCAAACAGGGTTACTTGGAATCATTCAGTGGAACCGCTCAGCTAACACTGATTACTCTGCCAAAAGGAAAGAGCAAGAGGTTAAAAATAGACAATCCCATTGAGTTTATCATTCCTGAGAGTGATTTGACACACCCCTAGTTTGGTAGCATTAAGTTGCCTGTTCTTTTTTGTCACTATCTGAAGTGTAAAGAGCTGCCTCAGTGAATATCACCTGACTCTGGATAAGAAAATGGAAAGAAACTGAAATAGCTAGAATCATTTTCCCTACTAGTGCTGTGCAGAAAGATCAATACTATAGGGCTTCAAAACAAACAGGCACCTTATACAACTTTTTGTTACTTTTATTATGTTAATTACTGCATGTTTGCTGAGTTATGTGTGTGTGTATCTATGTGCGTGTATAACACGTGTCAATTATTTAGATATATATAATCTCAGGATGCACACTGCCTCAGAAAATAAAATACAAGCAGAACACTGTGAATTAGACAACAGCATATTTAATACCTAAAAGGTTTAAAGTTACAGTTAATATAACAATCAAGGAAGAAATCCAAAAAATTCTGTGCGAGTTTTTGATAATTTTATCACTTAATACTATTACGACTTTTTATTCACTAGTCAGTTGCACTGCAAGTTGTTCCTCCATTCTATTTCTTTGCTCTAATTTAGCTTAACCTTATTTAGTAATACGCTTTTAAGGAGATTTATGTCATAAATCATAAAAGGCTGAGATATATTTTAGCTTTTATTCAGTGCAGAGAATCACAAGTAGCTTTAAATTGTGGCACAGGGTCAGTACATTAATTCTGCTAAAAACTCAGAGCATACCACAAGTAGCCTGTGGTATTAGACAGCAGCTGTTTGATCCCTGATGATAGAACAGCTGAGAAAGTGACACTGGTGTTTGGGTCAAAGGTTATTCAGACAAGACAAGCACATCAGGGAATCACAGACCCAATGAGCTTTACAAGCATCTGCTTGCATATTTCTTTAAAAATATGTAGTAGTTTGGATAACTTTGGAAGCAAACCCAGACTCAGAATCTTATGGTCTATGTCTAAGAGAACTATGAGTATTAAGTTAAGAAGTCATCAAGTATCCAACATTTAAACAAACAAACAAACAAACAAAACCTTGGACCAATACTCTTCAATATCTTCATCAGCGATTTGGACGAGGGAGTGAAGTGTACTCTGTCCAAGTTTGCGGATGACACAAAACTGTGGGGAGAAGTGGACACGCCGGAGGGCAGGGAACAACTACAAGCAGACCTGGACAGGTTGGACATATGGGCAGAAAACAATAGAATGTTGTTGAGTCCTAGTGGACTCCAAGATGAACATGAGTCAGCAGTGTGACAAAGCCATCAGAAAAGCTAATGGCACTTTATCGGGCACAGAAGGGAATTGGTGAGGTTTTATTCACCAAGGCGCCCCCAGGGGTTACAAGAAATAATGGCCACAAGTTAGCAGAGAGCAGATTTAGATTGGACATTAGGAAGAACTTCTTCACAGTTAGAGTGGCCAAGGTCTGGAACGGGCTCCCAAGGGAGGTGGTGCTCTCTCCTACCCTGGGGGTCTTCAAGAGGAGGTTAGATAACCATCTAGCGGGGGTCATCTAGCCCCAGCCCTCTTTCCTGCCTATGCAGGGCGTCGGACTCGATGATCTATTGAGGTCACTTCCGACCCTAACATCTATGAATCTATGAAAACACTGCACCCACACCCGCATAAATGACATTTATATTTAACCAAAATTATGGCTACTCAAATGTTAGTCATAAATATTTTGAGGTTCTCTGATCATAAGGTGTGCATCCAGCCAGATT